ACTACCTTTACTGTATGTTTGCCTTTACCAATGAGTTTTTTGCTTCCATAATTTTCATGTTTCTCGTTGTGGCCTTTTCGTTTTTGCTTAGAGAAATCCCTTTAATATTTCTTGTAAAGCTGGTTTGATCATGCTGATTTCATTTAGCTTTTGCTTGTCTGTAAAACTTTTGATCTCTCCATCAAATCTGAACAAGAGCCTTGCCAGGTAGAATATTCTTGGTTTTAAGTTTTTCCCTTTCATCACTTTAAATATACACTGCCACTCCCTTCTGGCCTGCATAGTTTCTTCTGAAAAGTCAACTGATAGCCTTATGGGAGTTCCCTTGTGTGTACCGAATAACTTGCTGCTTTTCCCCTGATGCTTTTAATATTCTCTCTTCACCTTTAATTTTTGCTGCTGTAATTACAATTTGCCTTGGTGTGTTCCTTTTTGGTTAATACTGTTTGGGACTCTGTGGTTCCTGGAGTTGAATGTATGTTTCCTTTCCCAGGTTAGGGAAGTTTTCAGCTATTGTGTCTTCAGATGTGTTCTATGCCCCTTTCTCTCTCTCTTCTCCTTCTGGGACCCCTATAATGAGAATTTTAGTGCATGTGATGTTGTCCCAGAGGTCTCTTATTAAACTGTTCTCATTTCATTCTTTCTTCTGTCAGCATCAGTTATTTCCACTATTCTGTCTTCCAATTCACTGATCCAGTCCTCCATACCATATTTGGTCTACTGTTGATTCCTTCAAGTGTATTTTTTCATTTCAGTTACTGTATTTTTCATTTATGTTTGGTTGTTCTTTATATTTTCTAATTCTTTTTAAAAAACTTCTAACTTCTCTGTGCATCCATTCTTCTTCCAAGTTCTTTGATCATCTTTATGATCATTACCCTGAATGCTTTCTCAGGTAGATTGCCTATCTCTACTTCACTTAATTCTTCCGGGGTTTTATCTTTTCCTTCATTTGTTACATGTTCCTCTGTTGCGTCATTTTGCCTAACTTGCTCTTTTTATATTTGTGTATCTGGTAGGTTGGTTACGTTTCCCGACTTTGGACAGGTGGCCTTTTGTTGTAGATGTCCTATGCCTCCTAGTAGTGCACGCCCCTCTCATCACCAGATCTATATACTCTACAGGTGCCCCCATGAGGGTCACTCTGTTGTGGCAGACTGACTACTGTGGGCATTCTGATAGGCTTGGTTGGACCCTTGTCTGGTTGGTTGCCAGGCCCTGCTTTGAGTAGAGGCTTCCAGCTACTGGTTGGCAGGCTGAGTCACGAGGTAGCTGGCTGCAGAACCTCAGGGGACCCCAGGGCTAGTGTTGGCTCACTGGTGGGCAGAAGATGGGTCCAGGAAACTCCAGGGCAGTTGCCCACCCACTGGTAGGCGAAGCCTGGTCCTGGGGCTAGTACCAGTCTACTGGCAAACAGGGTCATGTTCTGAGGTTTGGCTGCAGGCCCAGGGGTCCCAGGGCTGGTGGCTGACCACTGGTGGGTGGGGCCGTTTCTTGACACAGCTGGCTACGGTGTCTCGAGTGTCCCAAAGCTTGTTTTGGGCTACTAGTGGGCAGGGCCAGGTCTCAGCTGGTCCCAGGGCAGGTGCTGGCCTCCTGGTAGGTGGGCTGGGTCCAGAGGCTGTGGGGCTATAACTGTCCCGTGACTGGCTGTTGCCCTTTGGTGGGTGAGGCTGATCCTGAGGCTAGAGCAGGATCAGTGGTGGGTGGGGTCAGGGATTCTGGTGCTGTTTCCTGCCCACTGGTGGATGGAGCTTGGTCCTGTGGTCTCTAGCTGTGGGTCCCTGGGGGTTCCAGGTCTACTGCCTTTACACTGGTGTGTGTGGCCAGGTCCTGGGCCCACCGGTGGGCAGGACTGGGTCCAGGGGCAGCTGTGGGCTCAGGGGATCTTAAGGCAGCCTATCTGCTGGTAGGTGGGGCTGTGTCCCTGCCCAGCTAGTTGTTTGGCCTGAAGTGCCTACAGGCTGGCGGGCAGGGGCAGGTTTGGGTCCTGAGGCTAATAAGCTAGAGGGAGGATGACAAAACGGTGCTGGCTGGCACCAGTGTCCAGGTGGTAGAAAAAGCTCCCCACAATGGCTGCTTTCAGTGTCTGTGTCCCCAGGGTGAGCTGCAGTTGCCTCCTGCCTCTCCAGGAGACTCTCCCGAGCAGCAGGTGTGTCTGACCCAGGGTCCGTTCAAATTACTGCTTCTTCCCTGGGTCCTGGAGCATGTGAGATTTTGTGTGTGTCTCTATTTAGGACTCTAGGACTAAATTAGAGACTTTAGGACTCCTGCAAGTAAGCCCTGCTGGCCTTCAAAGCCAAACGTTCTGGGGATTCATCCTCCTGGTGCAGGACCCTGGGCTGCAGAGCCCGATGTGGGGTCCAGACCCCTTGCTCCTTGGGGAGAACCTCTGCAATGATAATTATTCTCCCATTTGTGGGTTGCGCACCTGGGGATATGGGACTTGACTCCACCCCTCCTACCCATCTCGTGATTCTTTCTATTCTTTAGTTGTAGTAGATCTTTTCTTGTAGGTTCTGGTATTTTTCATGGTTGTTCTGTAAATAGCTGTAATTTTGGTGTGCCCATGAGAGAAGGTGAGCTCAGGGTCTTTCTACTCTGCCATCTTGGCCCATCTCAACCCCACCGGTTTTGAAATCTTGGAAGGTATGGAACACTCGCATCCAGCACTGCTAGGCATTTTTGCCTCAAAACCTGAACGTTGGTACAAGACACTTCTCAAGGCAACAAGGTTGGCTTCGGAGCAAAACTTTTCTTATCCCAATTCAAAAGCATCTTCTTCCTGGCCTTGGAATTCAACATACAGATTTGTTTTTTGGGGCTATGCCATTACTGGCTGTATCTGCTGCGTTTAAAAGTTCTGGGAAAAGTATCATGCTAGGTGGCATATTCCATCACCAAAATGTGAATCAATTTAGCAGACTGCTTTCCAGAACTATACTAGCACATGAAGGGTGAAGAGGAATTTCCACTTCTAGGTGTAATTTATTTCACTTATAATTTCTAAAGACCCTAAGAATTAAGCTAAGACTAACTTTGGCATATTAAAACTAAGAGAAATCTTTGGATCATCTAATCCAAACTTTTTTAAACAAAGGTCCAGGATAAAGTAATTCATTGGCAACCACACAGCTAATTAATCCACTTGGCAAATTGTCATCTTGCCCCATAAAATCTATTCTGATCTTTTCTAACTGGCTTCATGGGGAAAAATGTAACTTTTTAAGGCTTCTCAGGAAGAGGCTAATTTATATTTTAAACCATTTTAAAAGTGAGAAAATGAGGAAATTTTCATGTAATTTAGCAATTTGCTACATTGCCCCTTCTTTATGGGAAATTGGCACTCTGAGTACAAAGAGAGGAGAAAATATATCTGTCCTGTTTTCCCTATAACCTTGTCTGGAGCTAAACATCCCCTCAAGGTCAAACTATCTCCCTCCATGAACAAATGCATTCATGCTTTGGGGATCCAAAGAGAAACAGGTCCTTTCTTTTGAGAAGCCCATAGTCTAGATAGGAGACCAGGTGCGTTCGTAAACAATATTATAATTCGTATGGTAGGTACGAAAGATCTCACCCAGAGCAGGGGGGACATTTGTTGCAACTATCACTCAAGGTTTCAGTGTTACATTCAATCTGGGCTGTCAAAGGCTCCCAAGGGCAGATAGCAAGTGCAAAGGCATAGAGAGAGAGGACAAACCTCTGTATGTTTAGGGAACAAATAATTAGATGTGACAGACACTTAGGATGCTTGGGAGAACATGGCAAGAGATGAATTGGGAGGAAAACATGACTTTATGAAAAATTCAAAGGGGCCTGTACCTCTTCTTGTTAGCAAGAGGAAACTCTCAAAGATTTGTTTTGTTTTTTAAAGAAGGGAGTGACATGGTCTGTTTTAAAATAATAACAGCCTGTGAGTCTTTAATTCTTATACAACCTATTTAACTCCTTACAGCCCTGCGATGAAGGCTCTATAACTACGTACCCCCATCCAACAAATGAAAAGCAGAAGGAAGCTCAGTAACCAGCTTAAAGTCGCAGCTCATAAGGATCAAACCTGAGCAGTTTGGCTCAAAAGGCTCACTCATCATGACGCTACTAGTCAGAGCGGAGAATGGGCTGTGGGAGAAGTAGAGGGAAAGATATAAATTAATGTGCTGCTTCGGGTCTAAGCCAGTGTTTCCCAAACTTACCATTCACTTCCTACCTTTACACAACTTTTGCCATCTGAGAACCACTTTTAATGTGTTTTTAAACCAACTCATCTCTTTAAACTTAAATTTTACAGGGAAACCTGAGGATAACAACAGGATACCCTAACAGGTATAAAAGTTAGGATGGCTCATGGCCCCAGAAACAAAAAGCTGTACACAGAGTTGGATGGTAGAGAAGACGGGACATGTCAAAGCAGGGCAGGCAACAGTAGACTGAAGCGGGGCCCAAAGGGTGGACGAGCAGCAAGAAGGTAGTTACTGAGAAGGCCTTGAACAGGATGGCAGCTTCAGCACAGGGAGGAAAATCTGAACCAGGGCAGTGAGTCTGAGGTACTTACATGGATAGCGGCGTGAGGGGTTTGTGGCAGAGTGAGGCTGAGACTAAAGAAAGTAGCCCTGGGGCCTGAAAGGAGGAGTCCAAGAAGCAAGCAGAGGGGTGAAGTATGACTGATGGGGAGACCCAGGCTGGGAGCCAAGAATAGTGCTGGGATATTTTAGCCGGTGAAAGAGGACTGCAGGGTGGGGAAAGGAGGGGTTGTTTAGGGGGTAAGGTAAGAATTCCAGAGGTGAGAGCAGAGGGTAGGTGGAGCCGAGGAAGGACTGCAGCAGCGTGACTCGGGTCACAAGATATTGGGGCAGAATTGGCTTGGGCACCCAGCCCCACCATGTTATATTAGCTTCGGCTGTTCACAGAACAGAGCATCATGATTTTCAGTGTTTGAGAGAAAATCGATGGAAAAAGTTGGCAGTACTTGACATGTACTTGCATATTATATTTTGCAGGTAGTCCCTAAGCCTGGATCCTGAACACAGCTTCCCACACATGAGACGAACCTGTCACCCATCTACCACCAGAAATCAGCTCTAAATCTCCAGTGGTAGGCACCACCTTCTGGGAAACACTTGTGTGGGCAAAGCATGATAAAAGCCTGAGGAACGCGATACTTGGAGGAAATTGCCAAGTTTCTAGAAGAACACTTGGGTTATCATCATTATTCTGTTTCATCTTTTTACCCCCCATGGTGCCTAGGCATGAAACTTCGTATATAACAGGCACTCAAATATTTGGTTACAATACTGTGAGTGGTTGAAAAGACATAAGTAAAGATGAGTCTTCTGAGGCACACTGGAATAGTAAGGATCCCATTCATGAACTACAAGGGCAAGGGGAGGGTATCAGACTAGTTCTGGTAGAATGTTTTCCGTCACAAGAAGGGATGATTTTTCAGATAGCTGACAGGCCATCCTAGCTCACTGATAACTAGAAAGGCCTTGACACTTTAGATAATGCAGGAGAGTGAGAAGAAAGAAAATTACAGATACTGTAGACAAGGCTTAATGTTTCAATAGCCACTCCAGATCACAGGCCCTTTCCCACTGCCTACAAAACCACTTATGTCTGTGCAAAATATGTTCCCCTATAAAGGAACTTTAGAAATTGTGGCCAACAGATCCTAAGGAGACCCCAGTGATTCTCACTTTCTGGCATTCACACCCTTGTATCCTACCTCTTAAGTGGGGGTAGGACCTGTGACTTGCTTTTAACCAAAAGAATATGGCAAAGGTGATAGAAATCATTCCTGTGATCATGTTATGATTATGTTTTATGAGACTCCATCTTGCTAGCAGTCTCTCTCTTTCTCCTGTTAGCCTTTAGAGAAGCAAGCAGCCAGGCTGTGAGCTGTCTATGGAGAGGGCCAAGTAACGGAATGGCGGGCAGCCTCTAATCGCTAAGGGTGGCCAATGGCCGCAGCCGGCAAGAACCTAAAGCCCTCAAACCTAAAGTTACAAGGAAAGAAATTATGCCAACAACCTGAAAAGAGTTTGGAAGCAGAATCTACCCTCAGTCCAGCCTCCAGATGAGACCACTGCCCAAGCCAACACCTGGATTATAGATTTGTGAGACCAAGGGCACAGGACCCATCTATGCTGTGCTCAGACTCTTGGTCCACAGAAACTGTGGGATAAATAATACATGTGTGCTGTTTCAAGCTGCTAAATTTACAGTAATTTATTATACAACATAGAAAACAAACAAATCTTAATATAAAAAAGTTAAAAAAAAGTAAAAAAAAAAGTGAAAGGAATATTGAATTATTGGCCATTTGGGATATTTATTAATGAAGATCAAGCATCCAAAGATCAGTCCTCAATGCTCATTTCCATGATTTTGAGAGTTGGTCCTTCCAGGTCCTGATTACCATCTTTGACACTGCATAACTGAACAGACGGGGAGAGTGCTGTGCTAAAACAACACAATTCATTTGAAGTCTCGACTTTTTCATTGTCACTGTCTCCTTCAATGACATTCACAGAAGTTTCTTGGTCTAGTAAACTGTCTGACATACTTACATTTTTTTCATCCCAAACTGAAGTTCCAAGATTCGTTTCATCATTTACCTGTTGAATTACAACCCCTTCTGAATCCTGTGATTTATAGACAGGCAGGAAAAATTCATTTGGTGAAGAGACTATCTTGTTCTCATCCTTTGGAACAGACAATAACATAGTCAAAGCTTTTTGGTATTCTTGACGTTCCTGTTGAATGGCTAAATCTTGTTCATTTTTATATTCATTTTGTTCTGAATTCTCAGCCTTTTCAAAATCAAGTAAATGCAACATACCAACATCATCTAGCATTACTGAGTTTTCCTTGGACATGCAGCCTAAGTCCACCTTTAGGATATGTAGCAGGTGGCGCATTTTTTCCTGGAGTTAAAAAAAAAAACAAGAATAATAATATTAATTAAGCTAGTCAAATTGAATTACTTTTGTCTGCAGTGCTGCTAACCTCAGCAGGATTCATACTTCTTCTTCCACATTCTGCCCGCACCCCTCACCCCCAGAGTACACAAAAAAGCACAAGGGAAAAAAAGTGCTTGCTTTTAATGCATTGATTGAGAGTATGGTAAAACTTTAAAATTCTTTCTATATTAGAAATTTTCTAATGAAGTTCTAAAGACAACAAACCTCCTCCAAATGATGTTTATTTTGTTTTATATGTCTCTCAAACAGTCGTTCTAGAAACCTACAAATGATAAATAAAAATGTTAATGTCTCAAAATCAGAAAATCAACTAAATATAAAATAGCCATACAATAAATAAACTACTAAAGGTTGGAAAATATGTTTTAGATTACCCTTTTTCCTTCCAGAGATAAACACTAATCCTTCCCTGTCCTGTCAAGTTCTCCAATTTGGAAGCTAGTATGGCTTCCACTATGTTTTAGTTATGTAACAGGTGCCAATGTTTCTTCTAAAAAGACTGCATGCTACTTACATTTCTGTTAATAAAATATCTTCAGTTAGGTTCCACCCCCCCCACACTAAAAGCTCTTTATCTTTTTTCTCTCACACACATACACAAACATCAAAAGCCTTCCCCCCTCTTTCTCCTTCACATATACAACCCCCCAAAAGCAAACCCCTAAAGAAAATTCTTTACAAAGAATTTTGTAAAGAGTTACCTTACAATGCTTCCAAATTGTACTTGAAAAAAATTCCACTCATAGTAAATTCACATAAAAACCTAAAGTTATCACTTATTAAGCACCACTAAGTGTTAGACATTTGTGCTGGACAAATAATAATCATTATACCTCTCTAATCATGACCAATACTGGGAGACAAAGGTATTATAAAACCCATTTTAAAAGATGAGAAAACGACATAGTCTAAGATGATGGTTTACTCTCCCTAAGGTCAAAAGCAATTAAGAGAATGAAACCCAGATATGTCTGGCTCCAGACACATTCTTTCAACTACACCATGCTTGTCTAGCTATCACAGGAGTATATCAACCGGTTTCATTTTACCATTTGTTACTCTCAGTGAAGTTATAAGCCAATCTTAGATTTAGTTTTTCTGAATTATTTGAAATGTTTAAAAAGTCCAAGAAATCTGTATTCTGTATTTTAAAACTATCAATGTTCGGACCATTCACTTCTGGGCACTGTTCTATGCATATATATTTCTTTACCAAACTTGGGATTACACAAGACATACTGTTTTGATATCTATATGTTTTTTCTAATCAACTATATATTTCGAACATCTTTATGCATCAATAAATTCACTTCTACAACATCATTTAAAATCTCTGAACAGAACTTACTATTATATTCTACAATTTATTCAGCTGAACCTTTACTATTCAACATGTAGGTTGATTCGATTTTTTGGTGCTACTATAAAAATTGCCATAATAAACAGCCTTATAATCTAAAAGAAAAATGTGAGTTTTTTAAGCATAAATACACATTTTTCATGCCAACCATTTTTGTTTTGGCTTCTAACCTTTGCTTTATTGTTTTTATTTACAGTTGGTATCAATGTTTTTGCTGTGGTAGTGGTAAAAAGAACACACAAAATTTACCATCTTAACCAATTTTTTTTTTTTTTTTTTTTTGCGGTACGCGGGCCTACCACTGTTGTGGCCTCTCCCGTTGCGGAGCACAGGCCCCAGACGCGCAGGCTCAGCGGCCACAGCTCACGGGCCCAGCTGCTCCGCGGCATGTGGGATCTTCCCGGACTGGGGCACGAACCCGTGTCCCCTGCATTGGCAGGCGGACTCTGAACCACTGCGCCACCAGGGAAGCCCCATCTTAACCAATTTTAAATCTACAGTTCAGTGGCATTACGTATATTCACACTGTTGTGAAACTGATCAATAGAACTTTTTCATCCTGCAAATCTAAAACTCTACACCCATTATGCAAACATTCCTTTTTAACATAAAGAGGTAAACAGAATTATTGTAAAAAAATTCAGGTCTTTTTGGTGTAGCTTTTTATACTAATAATGAAAATGTTCACTTTAAGAAACTTCATATAGAAATAGAAATAACTCATTAAAAATGTCTGCACTTCACATATTATTATGATGGAAAGCATGTAGCATATACATAATGGGGTCCTATGATACATATCATAAAGTTTTATCTAAATGAATTTCAGCTAAATAAATGTATAAGCTGGCTCAGGACCACACAGTTTCCTTAAGATATACAATACTAATCTGGTTTTGCAAACTTCCCCTTTCACTCACAGTGTGCAAATGTAGCCTTTAATTTGTCCTCACGTTACTGGTAACAGTTGTAACAAAAAAAAAAGCTTGCTTTTGATTCTCATGACAGTTTCAAGTAATAAAAAGAGATGACTGATCTTTGCAAAGAAACAGCAAAATTTAGTTTACTAGTCTATTATAAACTAACGGATATAACAGTTATTTTTTTGGCTTGTTTCTTTGTAGACTGTATGGGATTTTTACATGGGTGATAATGTCATCTGTGAATAAAGACAGTTTTATGGTTTTCTTTAAAATATGGATACCAGGGGCTTCCCTGGTGGCACAGTGGTTAAGAATCCTCCTGCCAATGCAGGAGGCTCGAACCCGTGTCCAAGAAGATCCCACATGCTGCAGAGCAACTAAGCCTATGCGCCACAACTACTGAGCCTGTGCTCTAGAGCCTGTGAGCCACAACTACTGAACCTGCATGCCACAACTACTGAGCTGTGCTCTAGAGTCCACAAACCACAACTACTGAGCCCACGTGCCACAACTACTGAAGCCCGTATGCCTAGAGCCCGTGCTCTGCAATAAGAGAAGCCACCGCAATGAGAAGCCTGCACACCGCAACAAAGAGTAGCCCCCACTTGCTGCAACTAAAGAAAGCCTGCACGCAACGAAGACCCAACACAGCCAAAAATAAAAATAAATAAATTATTAAAAAAAAAGAATCTGCCTGCCAATGCAGGGGACATGGGTTCGAGCCCCAGTCTGGGAGGATCCCACATGCCATGGAGCAACTAAGCCTGTGCGCCACAACTACTGAGCCTGCGCTCTAGAGCCCGTGAGCCACAACTACTGACCCCACATGCCACAACTATTGAAGCCCGAGAGCCACAACCACTGAGCCCGTGTGCTGCAACTACTGAAGCCTGCACACCTAGAGTCCGTGCTCCGCAACAAGAGAAGTCATGACAATGAGAAGCCTGTGCACTGAAATGAAGAGTAGCTCCCACTCGCCGCAACTAGAGAAAGCCCACGTGCAGCAATGAAGACCCAATGCAACCAAAAATAAATAAATTTATAACAAAAAATATGGATACCATTTCTTTTTCTTTGTGATAATTTTTTTTGAAATTGAGGTATAATTGCCATATATTATATTAATTTAAGGTGTACAACGTAATGATTTGATATTTGTATATATCGTAAAATAATCACCACAATAAATCTAGTTAACATCTGTTAACATATGTAGTTACAGAAAACTTTTTTCTTGTAATGAGAACTTTTAAGATCTACTCTCCTGGTAACTTTCAAATATACAATATGATATTATTAACTACAGTCATGATGTTGTACATTATATCCCCATGACTTGTTTATTTTATAAATGGAAGTCTGTACCTTTGGACCCCCTTCAACCATTCTGCCCCACCTCTGGCAATTTGTTCTCTGTATTTAAGAGATATGACAGTATTTAATGAACAAACTCTCTATTCTTTTCTCTACCTCCCCAAACTGTGAACTCGCCTTAGAGTATGAATTAAACATCCTTTATAATTTACTATCAATTATAAGAACAATTACATCAATTATAAGAACATGATCCCCTAAGAAAGCAGTATCATTTTCATTTCCTAATATGTGGAAATAACTTTAAAAAATTAACACCAAATGAAGAGTATTTAATATATCATTCAACCACTATAATACAGTTTAAAAAATCTAACCTGTTTGAAAATAAACCAAGTTTCAAAATTTCATCTGTTACATCTTCAATGAAACTCAGATACAACAGTTCTTCTTCACTGTGAAGGCAAAGTGATATACAGCATAAAAAATCACTGCTTATTTACTCTGAAAATGATAGGAAACATGAGTACCTAATTAGAAATATCTGTACTACTACAAATGTACTTCCATCTCACATTATGAGGAATGTTATAAAACAAACATTACATCTACCTTCTCAAATTATGCAAGGATATTTATTGATATTAAAGATGAGACAATATT